GAAACTCAAGAAAACAACAAATGCGTAGAACTCCAGGACCTGAACTTTCAAACCAAAACCTAAATGACCTTAAAAGTGTTTCACATTCAGCCCCAAACAGCACATTTCTTCACAAATACAGCGTTCGTTAGGGTCTCTGGAGCTACAGATGCTGCCTTAAAACAGGGCATTTCTTCTTTCCTGTCCTCAATGGAGGTTAGCAGATCTAGCTTTGGGCCTGGAAACTATGGAGAGATTATACTAGTGGAAAGAGCCAAACGCCATTGAAAGGAAATCTTAAATTTCCTTTCATAAATTAAAACAGTGACATAAAATAAAACAGTAAGTAGTTGAGGGTAATGAAGAGAAGAAAATGTTAATAAAATATTATATTTTATGAAATGTTTTATCAGGTGAACAGAGGTCAGTAGGCTAATGCTTTATGAGACACTGCTAGGTTTCTGATTACAATTAATATTTCCAGATAGTAAAGACAATAGCAAACAGTGAATGTTTTAATCTAAGTTGGTCAGGTAGTTAACTACTTGAAATTTTACAAACTGACGCCAGTTAAGATGCCTTTATGCTTTGTTCTTAAAATTCTATGACTACATCTGAAGAAGAGAGAGAATCCAGGATAACGGTTTTCTGAATTTTTTGATTTTACATGTTTATAAGCCCTAGATATTAACAAATGTGCCAGGTAAATGTTTTAGCTAGAATAAAGACAGAAATATTGTAGGCTCGTAAGTTCATACTGTGTCCGGAATTGGTGGGTTCTTGGTCTGGCTGACTTCAAGAATGAAGCTGCGGACCCTCACAGTATTACAGTTCTTAAAGATGGTGTGTCTGGAGTTTGTTCCTTCTGATGTTGGGAGTGTTCTGAGTTTCTTCCTTCTGGTGGGTTCCTACTGGCCTCAGGAGTGACGCTGCAGATCTTCCAGGTAAGTGTTACAGCTCATAAAGATGGCATGGACCCAAAGAGTGAGCGGCAGCAAGATTTATTGCAAAGAGCCAAATAACAAAGCTTCCACAGTGTAGAAGGGGACCAGAACAGGTTGCCGCTGGCTGGGTCAGGCAGTCGGCTTTTATTCCCTTATCTGACCCCACCCACATCCTGCTGATTGGTCCATGTTAAGGAGAGCTTATTGGTCTATTTTCCAAACCTTGAGCTAGACACAGTGTGCTGATTGGTGTATTTACAATCCCTTAGATAGACATAAAGGTTTTCCAAGTCGCACTAGACCCAGGCGACAGTTCAAGCGAGGTGAATGTGGGGCAGAAGTGCTGGGGAACCTGGTGTAACCTCCGCAGCTGCTGGTCCGGGTGCTAAACCCCTCACTGCCCTGGGCCGGACTTGCCAGCTGGCCGCTCCAAGTGTGGGGCCGTGGAGCCCGCACCCACTCGAAACTAGCACTGGCCTGTGAGCCACTGGCCTGTGACCGCCGTGCACAGCCCCCATTCCCACCGGCACCTCTCCTTCCACACCTCCCTGCAAGCCCCCGCAAGCAGAGGGAGCTGGCTCCGGCCTCGGCCAGCCCAGAGAGGGGCTCCCACAGTGCTGTGGTGGGCTGAAGGACTCCTGAAGCACTGCCAGAGTGGATGTCGAGGCAGAGGATGCCCCAAGAGGGAGGGCTGCTAGCACGTTGTCACCTCTCAATGCCTTGCTTTTTACCATTTATGGAAAGAAGCATTAAAACATATAACTTACGTGCACTTTCAGTTGTGAAAGTACATGCTGCAGCAGTTCCATTACGTTGCACTTTTGCAATGATGTAGGCATGTAATGATAAACTATAGTTTGTATAAGGTTTCAAATTTTGCAAATGATATGTTGTCAGGTGTTTATCCAGATTGAGGCATATTTTTGCTGAGGAAAAACGTGAAAAAATTTAGTAAGTCATTAAAAGTCAGTACTACCACATATCTAATTTGGTCTCTACATCATATTGTTCCAAGTGGACTTCAAACTATTGAGTGATTGAAAAATAAGTACATCCTTGATACTCAAAAGTACCTACAATTATCAGCCAGTGTATTGAAGAAATTCAGTTATCATTGGTAAAATTAAATATTGAAAAATTATGGTTTTATATCATTAATTTGGTACATAAAATATTTAATGAGTTCAGACTCATTTGTAAAGATGATCTCTTTTTTTCTGAGAAAACACAGCCCCCAGTGAACACTACAAGTCTTGAGTTGCATGTTTCAGAGTGATTCTTTTTTGGAAAACCTTTTCTGATATGTAATCTCCAAACTTTGAACATCGATCAGTATTAGCTACTGTTTTGAATGTTACATGCAGAATCCATTTGATCATCAGTCATTAGGTTGATTCTATCATAGTAATTTGAACACTAGAGTAATTAATGGGAGTTGTGAGAATGAGGGAGTTTCATGCTGGAAGTGGAATTAAGCTGTTCATTGAAAGGTAAGTGGAACTGAGTACGTGTAAGGGAGAAAAGAAAACCTTACAGACAAAAGAAGGAATGTTTTTGAGTTTAGGGACAAACCTGATCAGGACAACAGCTCTGGCTGGGGAGGCATATGAGAAGTAGGACAGTGTCTAAGTGTGTTTTCACACTCAAGCAGAAGAGTTAGCACTTGTTAAGTAAAAAAATCACCAGCTGCTGCTATTTTTGAGTAGCCAAGTGACATCAGGAAAGAGGATGATTAGAGTGGCAACATGTTTCTGGATAGCAGTTACAGTGATAATAATAATATAATATCAATAATGATTTTAAAAAACAATAACTCACTGTATGTGCCAAGCACTGTTTCAAGGAGTATACATGAAATAATTAATTTAACCATCACTGCAACTATTATCTGGCACTCAGTATCATCTGATTTTACAGATGACAAAACTGAGCCACAGAGAGATTAAGCAATTTGTTCTTTTTTTTTTCTTTAAAAAATAAAAGGCATTACACAAAATAACTTCCAGCGACATCATGGTGGTCTTGAAAGGTGACTATTCTTTCAATAACTTTTGAAAAATAATCCTTTAAATCCAATAAAGCACAAAAGGTCTCTTCCCCAATTATCCAATTACCAAGAAGCTTCACTGTCACTTGCCCTCATTAAGTTAATGAGATAAAACTGCAGTTCTCCAAAATATTTTATGCTAAAAATGTGAGTAAAAACAAACAAACACACTTGGGAGGCCAAGGCGGGCGGATCATGAGGTTAGGAGATCAAGACCATCCTGGCTAAGACAGTGAAACCCCGTCTCTACTAAAAATACAAAAAAATTAGCTGGGCGTAGGAGCCGGCGCCTGTAGTCCCAGCTACTCCGTAGGCTGAGGCAGGAGAATGGCGTGAACCCGGGAGGCTGAGCTTGCAGTGAGCGGAGAGGCGCCACTGCACTCCAGTCTGGGCGACAGCAAGACTCCGTCTCAAACAAACAAACAAACACAGGAGCAAAAAGAAAACAGATCAAACTACTGAACTTGAACATCTATCACATTTTCTGTTAACCTCAGTTTCATCATATGAACTATGAAGATATGTGTGCACATCTCCACTGAGTTATTAAAATAGTTGATAAAATCTTTAAATAATACATAATAAAAAATACCACTAAATGAAGAAAACTAAATTAATGTCAATTGCATTTTTTGTCCTCTTTTAATCCCTCCCTTTTAGAGACACTGAAAAAATTAAATTGTGAAGTAATGAAGTGAAATTTAATATCTGATTAAAAGTAATACAAACTGCAAATTTCATAGACTTTCTTCCTGTGGATTTTTAATAGTACTTTTATTTAAAATGGTGAAAAAAGTTAAATTGCCTTAACAATACTATAATCCTATCAACTCTCTTTGCTTTAGGTAACACGGGAGAGGAGAAAGGTGTATGTTTGAGATGAAAAAGAAAACAAAAGCAGAGCAGGCTGTTTAGAGTAGAGCTGGCTCCAAAGAGCCCTTTATGCAGTGTCAGGGCATGGTCCAAAGCCGCATTCAGTCACCAATCGGCGGCTTTGGAGAAAAGAAAACACACAGCCTGATATCATCTAGCCTCTCCTTCTCAGCCATTCAATCCCGTTTAAGTGTTCTATGCGGACAGCTATTAAATTTGAGTAACACTATTTAGTTGCCCAATAAGAAGGACCCATGCTAGTTGCCAGCAAACAAAGCAAAATTCATAGACTGCTACTAACTCATTACATCCTTTT